CTTATAATAACAATTTGCATAACAGACACTATAGAAATAGATTTCCTTCTAAAAGTGCTCCTTGGTATAATGTGAGACACTTTGAATTGATGAGGAGGCGGGACTTTCACTATCAAAGACATAAAATGTTTCCACACAGTGGTTATTTACTTGAACTTTACAAATCAACTAAAAAAGAATATAGAAAATCACTAATTGACTCAAAAAAAGCTTATTACAATGCCGAACTTAGTAAAGCAGGGAATGATGTTAAGAATATATGGAGAACACTAAACACTATAATCAACAATTCCAAATTTAACCCAGGAAAGACCGCTTGCTACCCAAGCTAGTACACGAAGGAGTCACTGCAGAACCCAAAGCTAAACCAATACTTTTCCGGAATTGCTGCAGAACTAGCAAAAAGCATCCCCCTAGCAATGTTTTCCCCTCAACAGCAACCAACTTCTACCTGTGATTACAAAGGAGGTCACTGCTTAAACAAATTAAAACCAGGAAAATCACCTGGAACTGACAGCTTGGGCATTGATACAATCAAGGAATTCAAAAATGGAATATTGCCTACTTTATGTAAGTTGATAAATCTTGTTTTTAATACTGTATCTGTACCAAGTCTGTTTAAAATGGCAAAGGTTGTCCCTTTGTTTAAGGGTGGTGATAGCACAGAACTATGACTTGTGTAAATATGAGATTAACCAGTTATTCGGATGGAATGGGTCAATATGGATTCAGAAAACACAACAATACGTCCTCAGCAACTACAGACCTAATTACAAATATTTATGAAAAGGTTGATAAAAGATATAAATGTGTACTTATCTCGCAAGGCTTAAGAAAAGTTTTTGATGCAGTAAATCACAAAATTGTCGTGGAGGTGCTTGAAAAAACTGGTATTGGAGGTTCAGCACTACTGTAGTTTAGGGATACAGTATGTTGAATGTGGAGGTAAGACAAGTAAAATGGAAAAAATTGTACACGGAGTGCCCCAAGGTTCAATTCTGAGACTGACACTCTTCCTAGTCTACATGGACTCACTGTTATACAACGCTTTTCAGGTCTCTCTCAATTTATATGCAGATGATACTTGCATCACTTATTTTGACAACTTATAAATCATCACTGAAGAAGACTTACAGAAAATAAGCGATTGGTTCTGTTACCACAAACTTGGTTTAAATTTTAAAAAATCAAGCTATATGGTAATATCAAAGTTTGAGTTTTAGCCTGACTTCACGATAAACTTTCAAGATCTTCCATTGACTCGTGCAAACTGCATCAAATACCTGGGACTCATTGCCGATTCAAAACTTACTGGGGATATGCACATCTTGCATGTATGTAAAAAGATTACATCAGCAATTGGAATACTTGTGTTGAATATCGGACTATCTGTCCATTACGCATCGTAAGATGATATACAATTCTCTTATCCATTCTCACATATCATATCTAACTCTGCCATGGGGCAATGCTTCCCTTAACACACTGCATCCATTGTCACTTCTTCAAAATCTTGCTACAAAAATTTTGTTCAATCTGCCATTTCTGTTTCCAATAAAAGACTTATATTATCCGAATGGCATCCTGGATATTGACTTCCTGTATATCTTGCAATCATGAATCTTTATCCATTCTTGCAAGACTTCCAATATTCACTCTACGCTAAGTCAACACAATCCATCACCATAATACCAGACTCAATGAAAACTTAAAAACGTCGGCTATAACTGGCCAACGCAGCATCTTGTCAGAAGGACTAAGGTACTACAATCGAATTCCAGAATCTGTTGAAAGATTGAACATAACTTGCTTCAAGTGTAAGCTGAAACAGTTGATCTTCGATGGATACTTTGGCACTGTACAATGAAAGACTTTATCTGCAATTTAGAAATAATATATTCAAAAATGCAACAACGTTGTGATACATGATAATAAAATTTTTGGCTTGATTTTCTCTGCTTTTCCATCCATAGACGCGTTTCGACCTATCAGGTCTCATCAGCATGGCTAGGAAAAGCAAAGAAAACCAAACCAAGTTTCGTGCCTGTAGGCAAAATACAAATAGTACAACGGTCGAAATTTGATCGTGGCGCTATCTAAGACAAAGATTCAACACTAAACAGCAATTTTTGCCGCAATATACCGTGCGTTCGGTATTTTGATCAGAGTTCTCCGAGCTTGAATTTACCGTTCGTTTATTCAAAAAGTGTACCCGGACAAGGTTCATTTGCGTTCGTTTATTAAAATTTTGGGCACTCGGATACTTTGTTCAACTGCTCTGTTCGCTCGCTGGTCATGTGATTACGGCTCCGCTCAGCACGCTCTGCAATTTGAGCAAAATACCGAACGCAAGGATAGTGACTGACTATCTAATCGGCCGACCAAAATTCAGTTCGTGGGAAAACCCAGAATAGGAAAACCTATTATCCACTGATGATGAGAAAATTTTTGGCTTGATTTTCTCTGCTTTTCCATCCATAGACGCGTTTCGACCTATCAGGTCTCATCAGCATGGCTAGGAAAAGCAAAGAAAACCAAACCAAGTTTCGTGCCTGTAGGCAAATTACAAATAGTACAACGGTCGAAATTTGATCGTGGCGCCATCTAAGACAAAGATTCAACACTAAACATCAATTTTTGCTGCAATATAGTGACTGACTATCTAATCGGCCGACCAAAATTCAGTTCGTGGGAAAACCCAGAATAGGAAAACCTATTATCCACTGATGATGAGAGAATTTTTTTCCTAGCCATGCTGATGAGACCTGATAGGTCGAAACGTGTCTATGGATGGAAAAGCAGAGAAAATCAAGCCAAAAATTTTCACATCATCAGTGGATAATAGGTTTTCCTATTCTGGGTTTTCCCACGAACTGAATTTTGGTCGGCCGATTAGATAGTCAGTCACTATATTGCAGCAAAAATTGCTGTTTAGTGTTGAATCTTTGTCTTAGATGGCGCCACGATCAAATTTCGACCGTTGTAATACATGATAATATGGCATATTGTAATAATGTTGTATATGATACTGAATGACCCGCATAGCTTTCCAGCTCAGCGTCTCTAGTTTTGGTACATACATCTATTGTTTAACTATCATGTTGAAAAAAAGGAAAAATCGCGGTAGCCACTGTGAAAATCTTCTGTCCTCCAGGATGGAAATCTCATGGAGATCCGTGGACACATGTGGAGATCTGTGGAAATCCATGGATATCCATGCAGATACATGGGGATTCATTGAAGATATTTTGAAGATTTGGTGGAAATACGTGGAGATCCAAGAACTTCGGCTGCAATCCTGTAGAATCGGAAAAGTGCAATTGCGTGCGCACATCATTTCAATTGGTACCGTGGTTATTAATGTATATATATAGACGTCCTGTGGAAATACACGAAAATCCATGAAAATCCAAATGATCTCCATGGAATTCCAATCTCCACAAATAGAGATTTAGAAATCGGAAGTGACTCGGAAAAATGTATGAGGACCTCAAATGACATTGACGGAAGTTTCATTTTTTTTGAGAAAAGTGTTCAAAGACTTAGATTGGAATATTGCAAGTCGATAGAAAAAGGCTTAAGATACTTATAAAAAACAAAATGTTTCCTTAGATTTTCCTTTTTTATTCTGAAGCTGCGGAACTATTGGAGCTGCATTGAAATTTTATTTAGCGAAGGAATGCATGAAGAAAAATCAATATCCTGGAATCTGTATTGTATGGAATAGGAACTATCACAGGAACTATTCAGATATTGGTTTTACATCAAAATAATCTGACTGTGAATTACTTTGAGGAAAGTTCAGTCGTTAACCAAAAAACGTCTTTTCATTAGAGCTTCCTCATACTTCCCAGGATTTTCTGAAACTTCTGACATTTACTTTGCATTTTCTGGTGGGTTTTTTGGCGTTTGAATCATACATTTTAACGCAGTTACTATATCAATTTTCATTTAAAAATAATTATATAGAAAAATTTACAAAATTTCAAGTTGATCCCTGTACCCCCAATAAATTATTGTACTCAAAAGTGTCAACTCAGCTTTTAAAATAGTTCGAGCAATATTTCCAAGGTGTTCGTTAACTAACAGATAATTAACAATAAACTCTTAAATTTAAACTCGAGAGACCTTCAAAATATAGCAGTCTCGGTAGTTTAGGCATCCTCGATTACCAAATATCAATTATCATTAAAAAAGTGTTAACGGTTTAAGTAAATTTGTACGCCAGTCTACGTAGAGGAAGTACAAATAATCTAGACAAATAGCCTGTGTTTATTTTATCAGTAGGTACTATGAAAGTACCACGCGATACCTACTTTAAAAAAAGAAACATGTAAATTCTATTAAAGTACTAATGTTAATGCAAACTTTCGCTCAAAAATTCGCTGATGTGCTAAATTTTTCTACAAATAATCAGAAGTCACTTTCTAATAAGAATTTTCTACAAAATCCTATGTGAAAAAAAAGAGTCCTTAAATCTAATTAGTTTAATTGAGCGACATCGACTATTTTAATCTGCATTTAAAAGGTGATTTTTATAGAGAGTCATCCTTAATTTGTCTTTAGTGAAGGTCAGCAAATGAAATTTATTGTTGACTATTTTAAGAGAAAATTTCTATTTGTGAGATGGTTAAATATCAATGAACCTTGCACAGGACTTTATAACCAATTCCTTCGATTTGCTCTTTAAAAATTATTATATTTTAGTATACAATTCCAATTCCTGGTTTATGAAACTTCATAGAAAGTGTTACGTATAAAAATAACTAAACCGACCTTCTCGATTCTGCCAACTAAAAATATACCATAGATCCTATTGCATCATAAGCTCATTTTGAAATGATTTTTTTTTTATTAAAATTTATGAAAATTGCTGATAATTTTATAGGTTTTCATTTGTTACTTCCAACTAAAAATATGGTACCTATAAAAGGTGCAGGCAATTTCTACTAGAAATATTACTACAACACATTTAATACTATTAATTATTTCTTTTTTAGATTCTACAAAACTTGGGTAAAGTTGATAGAACAGCCGATGAAATCTTCGACGAGCATCTACAAAATTTTACAAGGCAACAAAATGCAGCAAATAGGTTACAAAAGGAATTTAGCAATTACATAAGATGTATAAGAGGTATGTAATAATGACTACACGTAAAGGTCGTATCTAACTATTTAAGTCACGCCAAACGAGCAACAGAAGACTTTCTTGAATGCTGATGAGATTCTTTTGCAGCTACTCAGGCAGCATCGAAAACACTGTTGGAAGCTATAGCTGAAATATACGAGAGTCAATGGACTGGACACGATCAGCTTTACGTGCAAACGCAATCAGTTGACATGTTGTGGCAAGACTTTAGTCATAAATTAGCCGATCAAGTGCTTTTACCTTTAAATACTTATCAGTCACAATTTCCTGAAATGAGAGTAAGTTCATCTGGTTTATACTATAATGTATATTAATTGGTATTTTTAGAAAAAAATTGATAAAAGGGGTCGTAAATTGGTAGATTATGACAGTCAGCGTCACAGTTTTCAAGCATTGCAAACCAACATGAAGAAAAGGGACGACGTCAAAATCGGTAAGGGACGCGAACAATTGGAAGAAGCTAAACGGACGTACGAAATTTTGAATTCGGAATTGCACGACGAATTGCCCGCTCTGAACGACTCTAGGGTGTTGTTTTTGGTTACGAATCTGCAGACTTTGTTTAATGCTGAACATACTTTCCATTCTGAATCGGCAAAGGTAACTATAACATTTGCTAATTTATGTGAATTTGATATATTCGCTTTAGAGCAAACTATGTACTTTATAGTCCCTAAGGAGGTTGAGTGCATATTTTAGTCTAGAAATAGCAAAGGAAATGCGGGTAAACATGTTTACTTTCGAGGTAATGAACACTATTCAAATCAACAAGTTTTAAAAGGTTGTTTTCTTGGGACCTAAGTCGCCAGTCATGAGAAAATTTGAATAACTCTGCTTTTGATACACAATTATTTTTTCTAAGCATATGACTTTCTTCAACAACAATAAGTACATAAATATTTCTGGTTGAGTGTTAAATTACACACAGTTTCAGTGGTCATCGCAAAAGCCGAGCATTAAATCATATCTAAGTACAAAATTTTCTTCTAAAATCTGGCAACGTTACAAAAATAAAACATAAATGCCTCGAAATATCAATTTACTTTTGGAACTTAATCCACCATAATTATGCTGCCTTCGTAATTACATAGTTTTTTTTTTTACTTTATAATGGATTTTGTTCAAAGTTCAAATTTCGTTTTTCCTCGAATCCATTTCTTATACTTTGAATCAAATTTTGTATGTTAATGTACTGCATTATGCTCAATAATCAACCCTTGTGGAACAATAATTATTCTAAATTTCCTGAAGTTGAAAAACATTTTTCAAGTTTATTCATAATATTATCTTGTTGATCAGCTACATAAATCTAGGCCTCTTGTTTACCATACATTTTATGTTTATTTATTCGTGGGAAAACGCTTTTAACTTGGAAAGTTTTATTTGTACAAGATTTATTGTTTTACTATATTTTAATGGATCCTAAAAATATTTTTGCATAAAATGACCACCCACTGAGTTCTTTTGATGGTTTTATCAAATTTTGAGTAATTTGTGACCTTTTCTCTTGACCCACAGGCATTACTTTATAAATAGCAAGGGCCCACATGACACTTATCAGGTGAATTTTTTACTTGTTTTATATACTCAGAACAAGAAACAGAGTATCTAGAAACATCAATGACGTTGGAAACTCAGTATTAATGGTACGGCTCGAGTAAACACTAGAAAAGAAATTTGCAAACAAGTCTACAGTCTCTTGATTACTAAACCAAGTAGAGCCATTATATATAACTCATGTTTCAGGGAGGAACAAAGTTATTTCTAAGATTGCTGAAGTGTGACCAAAATCATCTAGGATTTCCATTTATGTTATTTTCAGTTTTAAGCAGGTACCTTCTATAATAGGAGCCCTTCAAAACCTTGCACCTATCTCTCACATCAGAAAACAATAAATAGTTCAAATCTCTCGTTTCTCTAAATTTTTTATGAAGCTTCTTCATCTCAACAATCGATCTACGCAGCTCAGGAAAGTTAGTAGTTCTGAATTTCTTAACTGGAACATATAAGTTATCCCCTCCCACAATGTTTCATAAAACCATAGAGCAGCCTGCTCAAATTGTCGAATCATTCATTAAACACGAATTAACACTGGCCAAATAATCATTCTAACTCCTTTTTTTAAAATCAGAAAAGCCCTCCTCATATTTAGAACTTTTGCACTCTACATTATGGCTGAATCTCGTAAATATAGCTGTGTGGTATACAATACATGTGGGTAAAAATGAACTTTTGGTTTAGCTTTTTATACTATCATAGAGACTATAGAATATAGATTGAATTATAGTATAACTTGAAACTTTGTGCTATCAACGTTCCAATATCTTTTATAACATGTTCATTTCAGATTTTCAACGATCTAGAAAGTATTGTGGATAAACTAGCGACCGATAGTCAAAGAGGATCATATAGCGTCAAGAAAACAAACGGAACCAGCAGTCTTCCAAGGCCAACAAACGCCGTACTCAAAGAATCTCCCGAACTTATCATTAATAATTTGCCTTCCAGAGGTAAGCGACATCAGTTTGTGTGTATGTGTAAAGCTGGATTCTCATGCATTTTTTGTACGATATCGCATATATGTTTGGTTGGTTTGGCTCAGGCTTTGTTTGGAAATAATTCAATTTATTATGAACAACATTATTATGGATGCATTAGAATCCACCTTCTAACCAACTAACGTTGTTGTTTGTGTTTTGGACTAATAACTAACCATTATTGCAGTTAACGAAGTCGTCCGACCAAATTCCTTATCGCTAGACGAGGAACCATCATCCCCGGTTAAAACTAATAACAGTCCCTCATTGCCCAGCGAACCTGCAATTACTCCTCCTACTAACTCATTATCTAGCCCCGTCACTCCGTCCAGTCCCAGTCCGAAAGAGTTAACCAATAATGTACCCAGTCCTAGCAGCAGAAATGTTGTTTCTGAGCGCAGTGTAGATGTTGATATGGCTGATACAACTAACAAACCACCAACTACTGAAGTTGATGCAGCTGACAAGGATAACAATAAAAGACTGGAAGAATTGTACGATATACCTGTAGGTAAGTGAATTTTTTTGTCTTAAATTTGCCCAGTAGATCAACTTCTTCAATGCATTCTACAATCTTCAAGAATTTCTCATCATAGAATCTAAAGATAAAGTATCTACCAAGTGTTTTTGAAGATGCTCTAAAATAACATCATTTTACACTTATTTTGGAAACTTGTCTTTCTTGCGCTCTATTAAGTGACAGTATTGTGTGTACTATTATTAATTCAAATTTGTCAAAAATGATAATTTTGTCTTTGTTTTCAGGTGCTAGTACCGATCATCTTCCACCTGGAGTACTCTACAGGGTAAAAGCGACTTACAAATACACCAGAGAAGACGTAGACGAACTGTCATTCGACGTGGGCGAAATTGTGTCTGTTATTGAATACGACGATCCAGATGAACAGGTAAATAATCCGTTTTATCAATTTGGCACCTCATATACACATCTGCGTTCATTTTTCTTAGGAGGAAGGTTGGTTGATGGGCGTCAAAGACAATGGTGAAAAGGGCATGTTCCCAGCAAATTTCACCAGGCCGCTATAATTTGTTTAATAAATATGACGTACAACAGCCATTTCATTTTTCAAAGCGAATTGAACAATTACCAACTTATTATTTAACTTTTCCCTCTTTTTATTCATATAGATTTAGACATTATTAATAATTTGTAGGGTATATTTGTCATTTTTTAAAATACTATATTACTAATTCAATGACTCTTTTATGGCAATATAGAAAATTAATGCTCAGTATTTAGACAATAGAAAACCAGCTTATGATTATTTATTAGATTCTCTTATTTTTGGTTTGGTATTATTATTTATTTTGTAGTATTTGTTTGTTGCCTGTTGTTACGAATAAAAAATTTGAGAATAATAAGAATCTCGAAATTTTTTATAAGATTGTGCCATTTTATATACTTAATTGTTATTTTTCAAAATTAGTTTTGTGGATTGCTTGAGTACAGATTGAAGAATTTAAAGGCAGATTTTAATATTTAGTGTTTTTTTTTTTTCAGTTAATAAATGATATGGCAGCTTTTTTTTTGGCACACATCTTTATATTGTATTATTTTCTTAAATGTTTTAGTGCCAAATATTTCTTATTGGATTGGTTTCATCAAAGTTTGGTTATTTTTTATTGTATTGTATTATATGACATTCGAATCTACTTCTAATTTTTTTAGGGGTAATTTTTGATAAAGCCTTATTGACCAGGGGTCATACCTCGGTTATTATTGGACCAATTCTCTTGAAAAGAATTACCTACAAATTTTTCATATAAATAACCAAACCTAAACAATCTGCCTCTATTAAATAGATAAATATATAGTTAAACATATTGCATATTGAATTTTATTATACAAGGTATTTCTTTTAAAGCATAAAAATATGCCTGAATAAACAATTTAGAAATTTAGTAGAAAAAGACAATAATTGTGAAGCTCATTCTTCCAATACAGAATCCATAATTGTTTTCCAAAAATTACACTGAAAGAAACACCCTGTATGTACATTTCTGTGAGTAGTTAGTTTATACTTTTCATATACAGGAAAAAATATGGATTTAAATAATTTTACTTTTATCTTAAAATACACCATTTTTTTTATAATTTAAGCGCACATTTTTTTGTTTGTTGCAAAGTACTTAATTCCCCTATTCGTTTTTAATTTATAAGCCTAATCGAACATGTAAATATACAAGTTATTAATAACAAATTAACAAGTTTTTCTATTTGTTATTATATTCAAAACAGCATCCGTTAAATGGTTATATATTATTATTATTATTATATTATTATAGAATACTCGTTTATTGATAAACTATTGTAAAATTGAACACAAAAACTAAAATCGGTGCCTGTTCAATTCTACATTAGTTTTATCGTTTGTGCTAATATACATATTATTACTTTTATCCAATGTTATGTTTGCCGAATGTTTAATTTGTTTTTAATTGCATGCATTTGTTTTTATACTTTAAAAATAGAATTTTAACTAGTCATTCAAGGGGTTTTTTTCGTTTTGCTCAAATTCTCTGTGTATCGTTCATGTGTATAGGAATTTTTCGAATCCATCCATCGTTGTTTTGTCTTAGTTATTTTTTTTTTGACGCCTTAATAAAAATTGTAAATTTATCCAATTCTAAATTAGGATTACTAAAAAATAATAAAATTGTTCTTTAATATATTATTAATTTATTTTAAATATAAAAATAAAAAGGATTATATGTTATTTATTTTTTTTTTAAATTTTTCCAGCTTAAAAGTGCCTCAGGAATATAGAAATGAGATTAGCAAAAAGACAAGTAAACCTAAAAATTGCGAAAGAGGACAAAAAAGAAAACCCAGAATCAAAAAAAAAAAAAAATCCAATCAAGAGCTTAGAAATCTATAGCAACATGTTTACGGAATGTAGAATCCATTTAGAGACTTTAGACTGTCCAGATTGCCATAGAAGCCTTATCATTTAATGTAGAGGTCATAGAGAATCTACAGAAAAGTCGTCAAAAGTGTGCAATTTGATGTAGAAGCCGTAAACTCTACAGAAAGGTTTCTAGATTATTGAGGAAGCTATAGCTATACAGCCTACAGAAGAAAAAAAATCCAAAAAATTCAATGTGCAATGTTGCTTGGGTAGAGAGGGTCGCCGGAAAACACAATACTGTTAATAAAAGCTCGATTATACACAGTGACTGACGTAGCCCATGCATTAGAATCCAATTGGATTGCAGTTGGATTAGTAAAATTAACATCTAATCCACCTGCAAGCTAATGAACGGGCTACGTAAATCACCCTGTATATTGCTGGACTGCTGACCAATAACTTTTTAACATACACAGCTTTTTTTACAATCCAAAACTTCTACTAGATTCATGGAAATTAAACAATTCAACTATTTTACAGCAACAAAAAAACAATCATTGGCCGACTCGTTGTTTTCTTATCCCGTCGCTAACAACCCCTTCTCGCAGGTTGTTATTTTAACAATTTCCTACCTACAGGCGATATCCCAAGGTCCTTATTCTTGAAACAGGGGAGCAGCGTTCCCTAGGAAGGAGAACGAGTGTTCCGGCTTTCTCAATGATATGCGAATGAGAATATAAGTAGCACAGAGAGAACACTCGTTCTCCTGGGAACGCTGCTCCCCGGTTTCAAGAATAAGGTCCCAGATATGATAATACATTCTCCCCCCTGGCCTCGAACTCGCCTCGAGGAGGGGCCAGATTGGTCAACTGGATTTACCTTCATTTTCGGAGGTCTTCCTCGTTTTCGTATTCGTACCACTGGAGTCACTTCAAAGGTCCCATGTACAGTCGTTAAATCTGATACATGCTATAGGTATCCCTAAGGTTGCTAGTTCTTGTATGTCCGCAAATTCATAGCTTACTGAAGAAACTTTCCGCACTATTTGGTAAGGTCCATTTCTTTTGGGGTTGAATTTCGAGGTTTTCTGCTTAGCAGCACTGCTAAGGGTATGGGTAACTATCCAAACGTGGTCACCGACTTTAAAGGGTTCTACACGAGGGGGAATCCACCTACCTAATTTTGTTCACCAAAAATTCTAAAATTCTGAAAAATGCTAATTTTCATGTTATGATTGTCCCAAAAAATTCTAAAAATTCTAAAAAATTGAGCATGCGCAATAGATAAAAATTCTAAATTATTTCTAAAAAATTCTAGTTCAATTCTAAAAAATACTAAATAATTCTAGAAATTGCTAGAAAATGCTAGAAAATACTAAAAAATGCAAAAAAATACTGATAATTCGGAAAAATTCTAAGAAATTCTAAAAATTCTGTTTGAATGTACACCAAAATTCTAAGTTGTTTCCCGCACGGGGGAACCCACCTACCTAATTTGGTACACCAAAAATTTTCGAAAAATTCTAAATATTCAAAAAAATTCCAAAAATCCCTCCAGATTGCGCAGTGCGCAGGCTCTTGAGCATGCGCAATAGGTGAAAATTCTAAATTATTTCTAAAAAATTCTAATTCAATTCTAAACAATACTAAAAAATTCTAAATAATTCTAGAAAATGCTAGAAAATGCTAAAAAATACTGATAATTCTAAAAAATTCTATCAATTTGTACACCAAAATTCTAAGCTGGTTTCCCCTCGATTCTACAGCTTTTCGATTTTTATCGGCGTAGTTTTTTTGATAATCCTGTCGTTTTTCGTTAATATCTCGAGCTTCATACCATGTATTACCCATTTTCATCAACTGTGGTACAAAATTCTCATTTTCAACTACATATATGACTCGAATATCATTTTGTAGGTCATCAAGGATCTGGAGCTTCAGTCCAAAATTTAAATAAGAGCGTGTTCTTTTTTCCACCAAAAGTTTATGTGGATTTCCACCACCAAAAATTTACTGTTGCATTAGCTGATTTCTGTCACGTGACTCTTAGTTGCCATTGGTGGAAGCACCACAAATCTACCACAATTTACATAAAAGAACGCTTTGGTGGACCAAAATCGAAAATATCTATATATAAATGGTATATAATCTGTGCTTCTAATTCAGAAAAATGGAAATGGACGCTGCCATTGGGCCAAGAACATTAATTGCAAAGCGAAATAGAAGACAGAGGATCTCAATTTCCTTTATTCTTTTTCAGTCAGTTTTTTAACTGAATATGACAAGTCATTGTAGATAAAAGTTAGGTACGTCATCAGCTTTCTGGTTCTCCATTTCTTATATCTTGTATAGCTCCTAACAAATTAACTTAAAAAAAAATCAAAGACTACGCGGGTCACACAAAAAGCAGTAGTAAATTTTTTAAAGTTATGTGGTGAACCAACGCAAAACCACCAGAGTAATCACAAAAATTTTCTGTTGGAGCTTGGTTGCATCAGGTTTCCACCGGTGTGGTGGGCCATCATATTTCCACCATCAATAAAAGTACGCTTTATAAGATGCAGTATGACCTGTTGCATCATAACTCGCAGTATTCATTGTAAACCGAACTATTGGTAGTTTTTCTGCCCAAGTGGTGTGATTATCCCCCACTAAAATTGCTAGTCTGCTGGGTTTCAAATCCCGATTTGTGCATTCCACTCTATGGCATTCCACCATAAGGTAAAATGGAATGAATTTTTCCTTGATGTTTAGCCCAAAATATATACTTGCTGCGTGACAGATGTAACGAATTGTGTCCCGTTATCTTTCCTTGGCAAACCGTCGGGACAACAAGTTGGGCTTCCTCATAGCGTCCGCGTCTTCACAGGAATGTCTGTATAGAACACCGTTGACCATACCCTCGATCTGTCCATTTGGATAATTCATCACTTGACCTGTCTTCAAAACCTACAATATATTTTTTTCAAATCAGTGTCCTTGAATTGCTCGTTTCGGATATCTGATGCTGATCGTTTCGGCATGGAGGCCTGGATGACATATCGACTACTACATTCCTTTTACCAGGTAAATATTCTATCCTTAGGTCATAACTTTGAGCTTGTAAAGCCCACCTGGCTAAGGTAGAGCAACCATCTCAAAGGCTGACGGTCGGTTGGCACAGTTATGGGCATTCCTTCGATGTATCCTCTGAACTTGTCAAGCGTCCACACAACAGCAAGTGCTTCGCGCTCGGACGTCGAGAAGTTCTTCTCGCGGAACTGTGATAAGTGCATTTTTCAAAGTATCAAACGAGCTCTGATGCTGTTCAGTCCATTGCCATGATGTGTTTTTCTTAGTTAGGTCACTCAATGTAAGTGAAATGGCGAAAAGTCCTTCACAAAGCGACGATACCAGCTACACGACTGCAAGAACGAATCACTTGCTCAACGTCGCAAATCGCAATTACTGCCACTTTTTCCGGATTCACGGAAATTCCATCAGGAGTGATCAAATGACCAAGGTATTTAACAATCTTACACGCAAAGTTGCACTTTTCACGTTTGGCTCGTAAATTGAATTGGCGGAGACGTGAAAACGCGAGTTTTAATTAAGTCCTCGATATTTTCCTCAAAAATCCTGGAGAGCACACAGATATCGTCTAGGTACGCTACTAGCACTAATACGTTACTGAGTCCACGTCGAAACTAATCGATGAAACGCTGAAAACTTCCAGGTGCATTTTTCAGTCCAAACGGCATCCTGTTAAAACGATAAGTTCCGAAAGGAGTACCTAGTAAAGGCTGTTTTATCACGATTAGATTCATGAACATTTATCTGGTGATATGCGGAACGCAAATCCAAACACGTCCTGTGAAAAGTTATTTTAGTCGAGTGAAGAAGATCATCCATGCGCGGTAGCGGGTACCTACTTGTCACTAACTGTAATGGCGTTTAGTCGTTGATATTTCACACAATTATCCATTTTTTTACCATCTGGACCTTTGGGTACCATAACCCCCGGAGCTGCCCATGGGCTCTCGCATTCTTCAATTATATGATCCTCCAAGAGTCTGCCAATTTCAGTTTTCAGTAATTACTTACCTGCAGGAGATAAACAGCACGGCGGTAATAGGCGGATGATCAAGTGTCTTTATGTAATGAACTGCATAGGGAGTAGGATCTTCCCCCGGCTTGAAGAAGACAATTCTACTAAAGACGCAATAGATTTACTTTCAAAGTCTAATACATAGTACCTATTCGTTGTTTTCTTATTCCGTCGCTATACAGGCGTTTACGGATTGAAAGACAGGGTCGTCCCGGATGTCCAGGTGTGATGTTATAAGTGTGGACATTTAAAATTTTGTTAAAAACTAGTATCTAGAAAATTCAGAAACTCTCTTAGAAATTAGAGACAATCGTCTTTCTAACAATTTTCATTGCCAACGAAAGCTCAGACCAATCAGTGTAGTTCAACGCCGGTAGGGGTATTTGCCCTCGGAGTAGTTGTTTTCTGACTGGTCAACGAAGTTCATTCAGGACAACGTTTGAATTTTTCGGCACTATACACAATAGTATAGGTATCTATATCTTATGGGTTCAATTAGGACTGTGACTTCCAGACATTTTTTTATTTAAAAATTCGAAACTTTCTAAAATGAAATAGTCGTCTATTAAATTTAAGCAATTTCTTACAAGTACATCTGGTAAGAATGAAAAATTTAGATTGTTTCTCAAAAATTTAGGACTTTCAAGACATTTGATTGTGCCTATAATTTTCAAAAACCCTCAGGAGTTTAGTAGATTAGGATACTGTCTTGAAAATTTAGGATTGAAATGCCTGCTGATTTTGGAAAATTTAGACAATTTCTCGAAAATTTAAGACATCAGTGTGATAATTTTTGACGGTTAAAAACCCAAGATAGTTTTGTATTTTGGCACTTCCTTTGTGATTTAGAATACTCTTCTCGTAAGGCACTTTCTAAGAAGTCTAAGACAGTTGTTTCATTTTTTAATTTTTCACGCACTCTTAGAAATACTAGATGATTTGATAGACGAAATTTAGACAATTCTTCAAAAAAATCGAAGGCGGTTGTTTCTTGGTAGTTTATGGAAGACGTCACACTTTTCAAAATTCAAGATTTAGTTCTCTGATGCATTTAGACTTTGCAGCCTAGATATGTTTATAATATCTAAACTGCTTGAAAAATTTCAGAAAATCGTATAAATATCCAGACAGCGCATAAAGTCTTGAAGACGTTTTCTATGGGTCTGTATTACGCCTGAACGTCTGAAGACCGAAAAAAAAAAGACGTCTAGACGTTATTTTGAAGACGTCCATAAGATGTTGTAAATTCATATGTTAGAGATAACTGTTTGGTACAACCAGGTCTAGTGAATAATGGTTTATGTATTGAAAATATTCAAAGACGTCTTGTTGAAGACATCATTAAAATGTCTCAGTCCTGAAGACGTTTCTAGGCTGACGTGTAAGCAAGACGTCTTGAATGTCGGTTTTGGACATCTTTCGTTCCTCATTCAATTTAGTTACTGGGAACCCTTTAAAATTTTATGAAACACAGAACTTTAATAAGCGTTTTGGAATGTTCAAAACACTTGAAATCCAGAATTTTCAAGAGCATTCTTTAGCGCTTCAGAAAATTTTGGAAACTTCAGAGCCATATTCGAATGCCCCAAAACTCGATTCACAATTCACAAAAGCATTTTAGAACAATTCAGGATTTTGAAACCCATTTTAGAATGCTCCAAAATACTCAAACACTAGAATCTCTAGAAACATCCCGAAAAGCGCCAGAATCTTAGGATTCAGGTTAAAAGTTACAAAACGCCTTTCAAAATAGGCTTATACATACAAGAACGGATTTAGATTGCTGTAGCACTTTAAAATAATCATCCAAAATAGTTCAAATACAAATCAGAATTTTCAGGAGCATTTTGGAACAATTTAGAAACTTCAGAGTTAATTTAGAACAATAAGGATTCAATTTGGAACTGGAAATCTTTTAGAACTCTTTTGAACCAATTTAGAACACTTTGGAGCTTCAATTAGGGCTCTAAAATGCCTAAAATCTGTCACAATTTAGAAATCACTGAAAAACTTCTAGAATGCTTCAGAACTCTTCAAGCCAAGTTAGAACATTTTATAACTTCAATAAGCCATTTAGAACGTTCCAAAACACTTTCCAGCAGCATTTTGAAAGGCTTCAGAACAATTTAAAAACCTTAGAATTATTTCAGAGAGCCCCAGGAATAGACAAAAATTGAAAGTTAAAAAATGAGTAATAATAATGAAGACGTCTTTGGGCAAACATCTGAAAAACTTTGGGTTTCGTAACATATACGTCTTTAGGATGTCTTTAAGACGCCTGAAAGACGTAAGCTGACGTCTGAAAGGTGTCTTGAATGTCGTTTGTGGATATCTTGAAGACATCTTTAAGGTGTCTGTGTGCTATCTGATTTCGTCACTCAAAAACACAAGTGAATTGTACCTAATCAAAAGTACTCTCTGGTTCAGAAATGAAGGAAATATTTTGTTGGACAATTTGAGGCCCAATCCTAGTATTTTTAGGAATTTTCCCAGAAGTTTTAGGATATTCTTCGGATAAATTCAAAATTCCTTTCAGTAATTTAAAACAATCATCTAATAAATTTAAACATTTCCTTAGAATTGTCCGATAGGTTATCTTTTAAAATTTAAAGAAATGGTAAAGACTTTCTTGGAAATGTAAGATAGCCTAGCTGAGCCTAATAAGTTCAATGAATTTCTTGAAAAATTCAGAACAACGATAAGATGATCATCTATTAGATTCAGATATACTTTCTTGGTGATTTCAGACACTATATAGAAACCCAAATCAATCGTCTAGGAAATTTCAGACCATCTTCTGATAAATTTAGATGCGTACTCTCTCTTTTTGGAATATTTGGTTTGATACATTTAAGACACTTTCCCAGTAACTTCAGACACTTTTATTGTAAATTTAAACACTCGGAATGACTGGTAAGTTGGAAATATTTAGACAAATTCTTATAAATGACATCACATGATAATTTTCAACATTTAGATTCTTAAGATCGTTGTCTATAGTAAATTCTGGCTTATGAATTTAGGAATGTGTTCGATACTTTTTTTTTATGATTGAAGATAGGTACTCATCCATTTCTTAGAAGTCTTAATACCTAAATATACCTGGAACCTACATTCTTAATCCTGAAAATTTTTGTTTTTAAAGTGTTCAAAAATAAGTTTTTGCTCAAAAAATTCAACAACACAATAAAAATTTCTTAATACAGACAGAGGCGCCTAAAATAATCTCATAAAACTTGCCGTGATTGCCATTCTTAAAATATCAAAAGCGTATAAAATATTATGCGAGTTTCGGGTGACGTAATTGCCCACAGCACGGCACCTTGTTATTTTTCCTGTGACGCAATATGATTTTGCCAGAAATATAATCCATACATTATTGTGCAGACTAATTTCGAATGGTTGCTCGTTAGGGATTGAAAATGTGCAAAAAATACAGAGAAAATTGCCTAAAAACCCACATTAAATCAATATAACCTCGAGTGTGATGTTAGGACATGATTGCGAGAACAATGATTATTAGCTCTATTTTTAGGCGTCGCCACCAGAGGGCATTGCGGCTGTGTAACAGCGTCGCGGCGCCGCATTTATCCAGAAAAATAGCCGATCCAGAGCCCCAGTAAATGACATGAGATCGAAGGAAAAGTGCGTTTTCGTTTTGCCTCTGTTTATTGGAACATGTATGACGATGAATACTACACAAACCGCCACATGTTTTCTGGTAAGAACAATAATTACACACCGACTATTTCTATAATAGAGAATCCCAATAGTACTAATTGTTATTAAAAAGGAATTTGGTTGGAACGTATCGAATATCCAGATCCATAATATTTTCTTTAATTGGTCACCATCAGAGCGGGATTTTTTTTTTTGATTGGACAAACAAAATTTTTTAATACGATTTTAGTGTTTTTAATTCTAAATTATCCAGAAATGCTCTAAAGTTTTAATCGGAGAGTTTTAGAATTTGTTTGAGTTAAATGTTGGAAAAGGGCGTCGGCAATTTTTATTTGTTTTTGGCCTAATTGTTTTAATTGTTTCACAATTAATAATTTCCCATTGTTAAAAAAAATTAGACATCTGCTATAAATTTTTCTTCAAACAAATAATGTTCAAGGGTAAAGTTCAATGTCGTTTCCAGTACAAGGCAATAATAAATTATACTTCTTTCTAAAACATCAATATTTAAACTCCCAAGTTTCAACTTTCTACAAATAAGTATAGTGCATACCTATATTTCCAGTTGGATGACGTGTACCTACTTTACTTTTCAAATACATTTTCGCAAAGTTGTGCAATAAAGAAGTTGTTGTCCTTATCGTAAAAAAAAAGTTATTTTTTTCATTTGAAACACTTGTTTCTAAAGCCACACTACACAACGAGTAGGTTAATGACTTTTCACTATTTAAGTGGCACTTCAATTTTTGCTGGATCATATCCAAAAAAAAATTTTGTTTTGACTAGGCGTTTACGATCCTTAGCAAGGATATTTTATTGTCGAATAATACTCAACATTTAAATTATTAACTTGCAAATGTTGCCAAAGGTCTGACATTAAATGCGAAGTTGTTATAAGCTTCAGGGCCATCTAAATAATTTAATAATTCGTGGAGGTTGCTCATAAATATGTCAAAAGGACCTTTTGGTATTTATTTATTTATACCTGAAATATTCAATCGTATGGATTTTTCTTCCAATAGAAATTCCCCAGGTTCAGGTTTAATTTAGTTCTAGGGATTGGTTCTCGAAACTGTTCTTCTTTGACTTCAGTCTCTTGTCCAGAAGTGATTAAGATCAGTGTTGCCAAGTCTACTGATTTATCAGTACATCTAGTGATTTTACCACTGGTCTACTAATATACTGATATCAAATTCTACTGATAAAAGCCGTTGTCATTGTTTACCTGCTTTTATGATATTTTTTAAATTAAAATCTTGTATGAGAATGTCACAGCAATAATTTCATACGCGACCTTTGGGCTAGGACTTCTAGGAGTGAGGGATCCCCGGCGTTCGTGCGTGTTTGTGTTGTGTCTTGTTTATTTGCCTTTTGTCTTACCAGTTGCGTTGTTGTTGGTTAGTCAATTGGTCACATAGCGTTATGCATATTCTTTGGTTATGCTGTATAACTAACTACAACCTATTTTATCTGTTTTTATAAGACTAGACTACTGCATAGGTATAGTCCAACAAATACCATTTTAAAGTCACGTGATTTTTCTCTATCCTTGTCGAATACATTTTAAACAGCGGTGATAGTAAAATTGACAAAAAAATTGCTGTCTAATTATTGTTCATAATATTCTTACCTGAAATAGAATCCGTCACTGTCATCAATTAGTTTGTCAAAGTTATTTTCGAAAATAATACAACGAACAAACACAGCTAATAATTTTGACCACATTAACCTTTCTCCAACTCGAAAAGAAGCAAATAGAAAACGGGTACCCAGTTTAAGTTCAGAATGTATTACAACAGACAACAGATGCGACAAAAGTGAGTCTCGCAACAATTGTAAGTATTAAAATTGCCCTCTGATTGGTCAATACTACTTCAGAAACGCGTTTGTAAAATGTTAGTGGGAACATATATTAAAATTCAATAGTAATTAACCACCAGTAGCTTTTTGTAGGTGATATCAACGACATAATCAATGGACATACGTTTTTTGCCACCAGTATCACGTGACTTTAAAATAGTATTTGTCGGACTATACTCCCATTTGAAAAAAGCTGAAAACATGCAACATTTCGCATTTCTGACATTCAATTTTGGTTTCTGACCATGGCTTCTAAAAATTCAGCCAAAACTGTACAACTTTTGTATTTACACTTTTCATCTACTTGTAAAGGTGAAGGCTGTAGGTGGGGTGTCAATACATAAAAAACACTTTGTACTTGAACAATAACTTATTATATAAAGTCAGAATGTGAGATTATCAACTTTTTGTCAATTTGCCTTTCAACAGGAATTAGTAGTGTGTTACTTTACCAAATTAGTAATATGTGACAAGTTATTCAAGTACAGTCGGAATCATTGCAATTGGCACACACTCTTTAAAATCCCTCGTATTATGTCAAAATTCTAACCAATAAATCTATTTAGTGCAGCATTTTGCTATTACTGTGTGTCAGATTTGACACATTACGAGGGATATTTACATAATGTGTGCCAATTGCAATGATTTCCACTGTACAAACGAGTGGATTATTGCGGAACTTATAAGTGGACCTCTGCGGGACGAGCGCAGCGAGTTCCGCAGCCATTTATTCATCAATATGTTGTTTAATTACGATATTAAACTGACTCACTCAAATGTGAGTTATTTTCATTAGTTTAAAAACTACATGGTTCAGGTGAATGTCTTACTTGAACAGTTCAGCAGTATATTGGAGAGATGGTCCACCCATAAGTTCCGCAACAATCACCTTATTTGTACTTGAACAATAACTTATTATGTAAAGTCAAAATTTGTAAGATTATAATTATTCACTTTTTATCAATTCGCCTTTCAACAGGAATTAGCAATGTTACTTTACCAAATTAATAATATATGTGACAAGTTGTTCAAATACAAATGAGTGAATTGTTGCGAAACTTATGGGTGGACCTGGGCGGGACGAGCGCAGCGAGTTCCGCAGCCATCTACTCACCAATATACTGCTGAACTGTTTAAGTAAGACATTCACCTGAACCATGTAGTTTTTAAACTTATGAGTAAGTTAGGTTAGTATCGTAATTAAACAACACATTGATGAATAGATGGCTGCGGAACTCGCTGCGCTCGTCCCGCAGAGGTTCACCCATAAGTTCCGCAATATTCCACTTATTTGTACAGGGTGTTTTTTTATATATTGACACTCCACCTACCTCCTTTACCTTCACAGGTAGAAAAAAGGTGTAAATACAAAAGTTGTACAGTTTTGGCTGAATTTTTAGAAATTATGGTCAGAAATAAAATTTGAATGTCAGAAATGTGAAATTTTACATGCTTCCAGCTTTTTTCAAATGGAATGCCCTATATTTCATTTCATATTTTCGAAGAGCACAATGCCCCGATTCCAAAAATATATAGTTTGTCTATATTTGATTGAACAGTTTCTCATATATTCGGCTCCAAAAATTCTAAAAATACTATCCTACTACTGATTTTGTGAACCAGGTTCTTGGTTTCTCTGATGGTATTTTAAAAATTTTTAGAACCAAATATGTTGGAGCCGGCTCAACCAAATATAGACAAACTATATAGTTTTGGAATCGGGAAATTGTACTCTTCAAGAATATAGAACCAAATGTAGAGCATTCCATAGGTAGTGCATATTTAATAGGAATATCTCATGTGTCTTAATCTTAATAAATTATTTCTCATAAGTAGTATTCGTGTTTGATTTTCTAATGCAAGTTTTCATAGTCTTATACACAATCTAATGATTTAATGATTTGAAAAAACGTAGTTAAAATAAATAATTGAGTATACTTTAATGGTTTACCCCCGAGTTTACCCCTTTAACAAGGCAATTTATCTGTCTACTGATTTCTGTTTACTGATATTTTGACTGGTAATCTACTGACAAAACAATACATGACCTGACAACACAATTTTTTCTATGCAAATGTTTTTAGAAGTTGTCTTTAATTTTTAAGAGAATGTCTAAATCTATCAGACGATTGATGTTTTGAATTACTGAAGAGACGAAATATTAAGTATCAGAGTATTAAAAAGAAATCTCAAATTTATAAGACAGTTTCCAAATATACTTGACAACCATCAAAATTTAAGAAATAGTCCCATTTACTAGAAATCTTAGGTTTTTGAAAATTATGATATCTACAATTTTCAATAAGTATTATTAAGGGTGCTAAATTATTCGACCAATCAATGTCGTAAATTTCTAAGCCAGAAATTTATTTTAGGTTTGTGTCAAAAATTATCATACTTTTGTCCTTATTTTTCAAGGAACGTCTAACTTTATAACTTTCCATACAACTGTAAATTAAAGATAGTTTATTCAAGAAAAGAAATATAGTTCATTTAACAAAATTATTATTATAGTAATACACAATAAGAAAATACTTGAGAGCGTGTTTTTGTCGTGTTATAATACACTAAAATTAAAGCCAGAGTCACATAATTCGTCTAATGGGTTATCGTCACTAATGTCATCATCTGTAAATGTCCTAACATAAAGCCCGTATCAGCAGCCCTACAACGTTTCGACCCTTGCAATTCGTCAACTATATATCTGTCGTAGTCAATCAAGTACCTTTGACACAACAAAAGGGCCTTTTTATATAGGTTCAAGCTTTCTTCTCCTTTTTTCACCTTACTTGCCTGAACCAAAACTTGTTGACCAACTACGTATTTCTTAACTGGGGCCGGTCTGTTAACGTAATACTCCTTCTGCATCTTTTGCCGTTTTCGAGTAACCTCAACCACCTCTTTACGCACTGCATCAAGGTCTTGCCGTTCTTCGCATGCGACCTCTGAAGCAAGGAGATATGAGTCATTAACGCCACGTGGGCGGTAACCAAAGAAAATCTCGTAAGGCGATTTTCTAGTTGTGGAATTAATCGGGCCTCATATTCGGTAGAAGCCAATAGAGACGACAGAATTGAGCGATTCATTTTCTCCACTTGATGTTCATTAGCTCTATAGGTGTAGCGGTCGCCCATCGCCCATAGAACACGTTTAATACCAAACGAATGACAAAAGTCCGTAAAACTTTTGCTTGTAAATGCTGTTCAACGATCGTAAATCAATCTTCTTGGAACTCCAAGCATGTCAATGATGTAGGTATTCCAGGAAACGTAACACTGGTAATGTTTTTGTACTTACTACTGCTTTCAGGAATATGAATTTGGTAAATTCATCTATCACAACTATCAAATATGCATTTTCCCTAACGCTCGTAACAAATGGTCCAACGGTGATCGATATGTAGTGTGTCCATGGGCACACTTATTAAATCTTTCGATTGGATTTAGACTTTCAGGCTGTTTACCGGATGGCCTTTCATTATATGAGACATCCTAAACAGGATTTTATATAGTTTTTCACATAATTTCTCATTTCTTGAAACCAATTACGTGCACTCATAGCTTCCAACGTTTTGTCTATTGCAAAGTGACCAGCTCCATCATGGTAATATTAAGCGATAGTTCGCCTTGATGATTTCGGTACTACCCATTTCCGCCCACCATTTGTAATTCTGTATAAGCGGTTATCTTGTAGGCAATAACTCTTACGGATTTCTCTGGACGCACAGGTAGCGACAATGTTCATCTTGGAGTTGTGCAGACCCAATCCTCCTCGGACACATTAACATTCATAGCGTCAATGTTTTGGATTGGACCTCTGCTCAAAGCATCCACATGCGCCATTTTGGTTTTTGGGCGGTATTCGATGTCAAAATCTAACTCCTGCATTGAAAGTCACCATCTAGCAATATGTGGGACTAAATCTCTTTTCATTAATGTGTGGCGGAGTGAATTGCAGGCTGTAACAACTTTAAATTTACTGCCTAATGAGGTAAATTCTCAACTTTTTGAGAACCTCCACTAATGCCAACGTTTCCAACTCATAGGAATGATACTTCTACTCCCAATCCTATTTTGCTAGCGTCACAGTGGGCTTCAGTTTCAACCTCCCTGTTGTAGCAATATTCTGTTCCATATTCCAGGCAAAAACGGAGTTTTTCTTGGTAAGTATTGGTTTGGCAATGGAGGCGAATCCGTTTATAAATTTTCTGAAATGACTAGCTAGTCCCAAAAATCTTCTAACATCATGAACGTTATTGGGTGTTGGAAATTCAGCCAAGGCTTCAATTTTATACACACCAGGACGTATACCGATATTAGATACTTCACGTCCTAAATATTCTATGTTCTCTTCAATGAAATAGCACTTATTTAACCTTTGTCTAAAACTCTCTAAATATATTTAGTATCTGCTTCAGCTTTTTAAATCCATCTGGTAATGATATGAACGGTATTAATACGTCGTCCAAATAGAAATATGCTATAGCTGTTTCGAATCGCAAAGAGCCTAAGACTTGGTTTATTGTTCTCTGAAAAACCGCAGGAGCATTTACAAGTCCAAATGGCATTCGCAGGAACTCGTAGTGTCCATATGGTGTTACAAACGCAGTCTTTGGAATTGATTCTTTATTCAATGGGATCTGATGGTATCCAGATGCTAGGTCTAGGGTCGTAAAATAAATGTGACCTTTGAGAGAGTCCAGGAGGTTATCGATCCTTGACAATGGTTATTTATCTTTTAGCATTTTGCGATTTAAGGCTATATAATCTATGCACATGCGCGGCTCCCCATTCTTCTTTTTTACCAGTAGGACTCTAGACTTTTATAAGGTGAAGATGAGTTACGGGTAATAGCATTTTTCATGAGGTCATGAACTATTCCTCTTACGACTTCCCTTTCAGAAAATGCCATGCGATAAGGGCGATATGTAATAGGAATATCATCAGTTAGGGATATCGCAATTTCTGTGGATTTTGTTTTTCCAATCTCGTCTACATGGCAAAACAATCACGGTATTCATTTAGAAAGTCTAATAACTGATTAAAATCGGTACTATTAAGCTTGGAATTAGTTTTGAATATCTTGAGTCGAAAATTTCCAGATGATTGTCTTCAATTTCCAAGAAAGCGCCTTAATTTCCTAGATAACTGTTTTGGGTTTGTCAGATGCTGTCTTCAATTTTCAAGAAAACAACCAAATATAAAAGGTTGTCTAATACCTAATCCAGATTCTTATAACAAAAATAAATCCTCCGACTCTTGAAACAGTAGTTTGAATGTTGAAAAACTTATTATATAATGTTACAGGAAATAATAATTCACGTCCCAACCTACTCAAAGAAGCAGGTGGCGTTCAGTGGCGAGGCAGCCGAGGATCGACCGTCAATGGTAGCGCAACAGGAAATGGCGGAATCGGAGCCGGTTTCAGAGCCGATCCAGATCGCGGCTTCTACGATCAGAACGTTGGCGCCGTTACTGAGTCGAACCAGTTGGAGAGGTCGCGCTCAACTGAGAATGACCCTATTCACCTCAAGAGACGGGTGGGACTCGTCAGTGGGGTGGCTTTAATTGTTGGCACAATGATAGGTGATTACCATTTAATATTATTGTTTGTAGAAGTTTTTGCAATTTGACTAAATTTTCCAGGTTCTGGAATTTTCGTCTCTCCGTCGGGCCTGTTGGAACGAACAGGCTCAATTGGAATGAGTTTCGTCATATGGATGTCATGTGGGCTTTTATCCTTATTAGGTAACCTAAATTTGAAATAATTGCAAAATTATTATTGTCGTGTTTTTAGGTGCCCTTTCCTATGCGGAACTAGGTACGATGAATACCTCATCGGGAGCAGAATACGCCTATTTCATGGACGCCTTTGGAGCACCGCCGGCATTCTTATTTTCCTGGGCCAGTACTCTCGTACTGAAACCGTCTCAGATGGCCATAATTTGTCTCAGTTTCGGAAAATACGCCGTTGAAGCTTTCGTTACCGAATGCGAACCGCCGGAGATTGTTGTCAAGATGGTTGCTTTACTTGCCATGGGTAAGAATCTCATTTTATTTATTTAATAATCATCAATAGTTCTGCAATAGTTTTAAGCACTAAGTATATGTATTCTTCAACTATACAAAAGCTGTCGTTAATATGTAGCTTTCAGGAACATATTTCAAGAAAGTAAATTGTGTTTTCACTTCTTCGAATTTATGGGCACCTGTTATAATAATAAATTCATTACCTCGCCTTTTTATGTTAGAAATATTTTTATAGGTGCGTAACAAATTTGGAGCTCAAATATCTCGACATCAGCTACTGCTCATCTATTTCTCTCTCTTTCTCCAATGGTGCTACTTTAAGGTCGACCTCAACTCTAGTGTGTCTGTCAATATTGCTTCTTCTTATTCAAGTCTGTGTCGGCGTCTTTGTTTTTTGTGTGCTCATTTCAAGTCCGATGTTTTTAGCTTCTCTCTCCAGATTCATATACCAGGTCTGGCAAGTCAACATCCTACAAGCCAATTTTAATGCAATAGAATGAAATGTCTAGAAAAATTCTAAGGTGAAATAGAGAATGACAATGATTTCCCCTATTCTACCTCCAGCATGGAGCGCTTTCTGTATTTTTAACCTTAGACTTTCTTCAATGAAATTGGCCTGTAAGATGTTCACTTGCCAGACCGGAGACTGGTATTGTGAGACCCCAATTCAGAAACTTATTTGATATTGAATTGGCGATCGGCGGCTTTTGTTTCTGAGTGGAGACACAGATTGATATGGGTCCTATTTGCGGGTGTGAAAGTAAAACACAACTGTGGACTATTATGTTAAAATGATTTTATTTAATAGTCATTTATGATATAAGTGCTGAAAGTGACATTTTATTTTGTGAAAAGGGAAGTTTGGGACACGACGCCGAAGGCGGAGTGTTCCATCCCTTTGAACAAAATAAAATCACTTTTAGCACGAATGTCATACACTATTTTTTCTACAAACACACTAAAAGTGATTACTTTTAGCACTAGTGCTAAAAGTAATCACTTTTAACACCAGTGTCATAAAATGGCATTTTAGACACTGACAGCATCCGTTAAAAATGACACTTTTAGTGACGTTTGTAGAAAATAGTTATTTATCGGGCGTCGGCCAGAAAGGCTTGAAATATAATAACCAAACTTTTTACTCTGACTTATATACAATTTCACTCTTTTCTCACAAATACCTTAATTCTATTATAAAAATTCCAATAGGTAAGTTTCGTATCAAAAGTTTGCCGTATCAAAAATAATGTTAAATTAGAAAGTTCAAATTTTTTTCAATTATCAATCACGAAAATCCCAATTCAAAATGTTATAAATAATAATGAATAACGAAATATGTTTCAATAAAAAAGTTCTTTTACAAAATTTAGCTTCAAATTTTCTTATTTTACCAACTATTAATCATGAAATATCATCTTAAAAATGTTTTAATTCCTTTTGAGATAATTATTTAACTTTCGTAAATTTATCAATTCATTAACTTTCTGTCCTATTTCATAAAGAGTACAAATTTCCTTTCTTTACATTGTAAATGTACTTACAAGATGTATTGATTACTTTAAAATTTTACTGGCACACACGTAATTACTGAAACCTTAATTTTACGACTTGACTTTAGGAACCCGAAATTTTCGCACTGCCTCTTTGAAACTTTTCGTACTATCTTCGACTTTGGACTCTGCGTCTGTCACTTGACTGACCGTTCTGACTGTTCTCGACTGACACTTTTGACCGTTCTTGTCTGATACTTCTTCTGAACCGACTCTGGTATTTTTATCGCAATTCAGGCTTTTTATATAAAAATATTCTCCTTCCTTCCGTTGTTCTTTCGGCGGCCTAATTTCTCCCCCAATTTTATGAATGCTTTGACATCAAGATTTCGTCATTTCGGCCCTCTTTTTAGTGGAATGCGGTACCGTTTCTTTGTCGGCATACAGCAGGCGCCTGATTTATGGTGCTTTCCCGGAATTTTGGGTTCAGTGACAGATGGCATCATGTTAGTAAAGTGCCGCATTTCAGGGACACATTCCAATTGAATCATCTATTTTTGTGTGACCCCACTTATCGGATCTTTGAGAAGGGATTTCAGTTTCTGTTGTTTCTTTATTCGCTGGTCAGATCATTTTACTAGAAGTTCCAGCTGTAACTGGTTGAGTGTTGTGGTCTTCTGGGGTGTTTAATTTTCGGTAAGCTGTAGTTGATTTTGATTTCATTTTTCCAGTTTTATTTATTTTTTGTTTGTTGTTTGTTTCATTTTTCAACAAAATAACCAGATCTATTAACAATTATTTTATTCTTGGCGGTTTTTGTTGGTGGTTTATTTCTGCGTCACTATAGTATATTTCTGGTGTGTCCTCTGATCTACGAGACATGACGTGATCGTAAAAGCTTATTTAGGATAAACGGAAATATCTCATTTGCAATGCATAAGAGCCATAGGAGGGTAATTCCTCGATAATAGTTTTCCCAGGTTAATTTGTCACCTTTCTTGTAAATAGAGCAGATAATTCTCCAGTCTTGCTGAGGATTCGCTCTTATTCTGTCCAGGTCTTTGAAACTTTGTTGTTATCTGCTCCTCCCCTCTGTTTTGAACAGTTCAGAGGGGACCTCGTCCAATGTTGGGGTTTCGATCACTTCCTCTCTTTCTCCGTTTTCTTGCGAACCAATAAATTTTAGAAGTATGTTAACCATGTATATGTTTTTGATTTGTTGTGGATCATTGCCCTTCATTGTTTCTACAAACGGCTGTGCGTAGATGTTCATAAGCCACTCTTAGATTATTGTTTTTAGTTATGTTCCAGTCGTTGCATTTTCTCGTTTTAAAATTTTCTCTTCTTTTTGTGGCATGTTTTGTCAATCCTTCTACTTGCCTCTTCAAATGCAGATCTTTTTTCTCTAGACGTAAGCCTTATGAGCATTGTTCCGATCATCTATGGGACTTCTGAACTCTTCATCACACCAGTCCGACCTTTTTCGTCTCTTCTTATTGCCTATTATTTGTAGATTTAAGTTTAGTCCAATGTTTCTCAGCACTTCTCTGTTCCTGTATTTGCTATTCTTCGGAAAATACCTATCTTGCTTGAATTTTTGGGACACTGCTTCAATCCTAAGTTTATCAACGTCGAAGCAGTCCGGTGCTGGACTTGCCCCGATGTTTTTTTCTGGATATTTTGCTTCTGAACTTCACCTGCCTCAGTAGGTGGTCTGACCCGCAGCATACTCATGTCAGTTATGACTTGCTGCTCTCCTGTCTATGAGGACATAGTCTATTTGGTTAGGGGGATCTCCACCTGGCATGATCCACGTAGCTTTGTGTATATTCTTGTGAGGGAACAGGGTAGATCTTATAACCATATTCTTCCTGCTGGCAAAATTCTTCATTCTAGTTGGTTCTTTCATGGAGTGAGTGTCTGCCTCATGGTTCCCAGGAACTGCTCTTCTCGGTCTATTTGGGGCATTCTTGTCCCCTTTTACGATTTTTATATTTTATGGTTTCTTGGGCAGTTTTCGTATGCCTCGTCCAGTTGGTCATAAAATGCTTCTTTTTTATCCAGATCTTATTCTTCTGATGGGCTATGGACATTGATGATGGATAGGTTGAATAAACTGGATTTTAACGTTAGCTTACTGCAACGAAATAGAAAACTAATTCAATTCAATTCAATTCAATTTATTTAATGTTCTCAAAAGAAATACATTCTTATGAACATGAGTTCACGTAAAATCATAAATTAAATACTAGTAAAACAAACAAAGTGCATAATATTAACAAAAAGAAAACCCAATAACCAAAAAAATTAAAAATAAAAATAAAAAATTGAACTTTTAAATATAGTGCAATAAAGTTCAAAAGTACCCACCATCACTAATCACCAGGAAAACAAGGAAAAAACAAAAATGTTACACAATTTAATACAATCGTTGCCTCATTCGTTACGCAGGAACGATCTTAGCTTTAAAATATTTGCAACAGTGTTATAGATTTCCTTAGGGTTGAGGGTTAAGTCACCCAGAGCTAAAGCAAAGTTTTCGTCACTCCAGTTTAATGGTCGCAAGTGTTTATATAGTGGGCAGACAAAAAATAAGTGGTGAAGTGTTTCCGCTACTTGCATATTACATACAGAACATAAGTCCTCCTGCTTGAACTGATAGGATATATTTTTTATATTAAGTCTGCAAAAAAACTTGTTGCTGGTGCGAATTTGGCAAATTAGTCTAGCAACCGAACGTGCTATAAAAAATGGTGTATGTTGCATTTCTTGCTATACGAATATCAGACTCGGAGCAATTTTGCTGGTAGAGATTCAAAATTTGAGATCGATTACGTTTTAAAATGTAGGGATCAAGAGTCCATAGGTGTAAAAGTCCAGCTTCCACGAACCAGCCTTTGAACTGGGATATCCAGTTATATTTAAGCGAAGGCACGTTGGTATCTAGGTGAATAAGTCGCTTTAGACAAACTTTTGGCAATTTTTCATCTCCCATGAAAAGTAACTTAATAAAAAAGTTTAAGGTGATTTTAAATATAAAAAAAGATAAATGTGTAACGCCGGCTTCCAGTCTAACAAGTGCTGAGCTGGTACTTCTCGGGAGACATAATAAGGACTTAAAGTAGCTCGTCTGAATTTTTTCTACGATATCCGGATAACTCAAGCTCCAAACCGGTAAACAGCCTGTGAAGAAGTTCAATACAGAAGTTTGAAATAGCTTTTTACTTGGCGAGAAGGATCCCAACCTCACTCTGGAGGTCATGTTAAGGACCTAATATATCCTTTAAAATAGGAAACAACACTATCAATGTGGTCAGTGAATATACCTACCTTGGAATACTGCTCTCTGGCTCTGCTTGCTTTAGAAACATGGCTGAACAGACTGTATTGCGAGCAAAACAAGCGTCGGGAACGATCCTTAATAGAAAACTATAAGGAAGCGGCGAGACTTCAGAAAGCTCTTAATAAAGACCCATTTCGGGAAACTGGTATCCTGTGCAAGGAGAATGGCACCTTCACTGCCAACCTTCAAGAAAGCACAGAGTTACTACTAGCAACCCACTTTCCTGACTCCACAAGCACAATTGTGGAGGATTAGACGCAGGTAGCATACATACCCTCTGCTCTGTGGCTGATTGGCAATTAGCAAATCAGATAATATACGAAGAAAAAAAAGGTTGGGCAATTTCAGGCTTCTCCGCCTTCAAAGCACCAGGACCTGACGGCATCTATCCAGCCCTACTTCTGTTGGTCTGAAGCCACTCTTACCGCACCTGGTAGGGATGTTCAGGGCGTCCTTGGCGCTGAGATACATATCCAAGGCTTGGAGAGAAGTTAAAGTGGTGTTCCTACCCAAGCCAGGGAGGATTGACTACACCACTTCCAAGGCATATCGCCCCATAAGTCTCTCATCATTTTCTCTAAAAACAAGGGAGAGGCTTTGTGAAAGGTACAAAGGGATGAAGTGTTATCAACCAATCCACTCCACCCTAATCAACATGCATATACTCCCAAGAGATCAACGGACACAGCCCTCCACCTGGTTGCTGGGCGAGTGGAAAAATCGCCAGACAACAGAGAGTCCGCTCTCGGGGTTTTTATCGATATTGAGGGGGCTTTTAACAAAACCACCTTTCAAAAAATTAGCCACTCGCTAACAGAAAGGAATACTCCGGAAATTGTTACCGGATGGATATTCAATATGCTTTCTATAAGAATTGTACAGATAAATGTGCAGGACGTCAACATTAAAGGAATGGTCACAAGAGGCTGACCGCAGGGAGGCGTGCTATCACCTATCACCTCTCCTGTGGAACATGGTTCTGGACAGCCTCATTGTCTGCCTGAAAGTGACATACACTATACAATAGATTACTAGGTAAAGGTAAATTCGAGAACTCGCTTTGCGAACGCATGCAACATGCTCTTCGAATTATAGAAAGATGGTGCACGGAATACACTCTCTTCATCAACCCCAAAAAGACTGAAATTAAAAAATTAAACCAAAGGTAGTAATGTGGATCTATATAACCATCAGCAGGCCTATGCTCACCTATGGGGGCTATTGTCTGCGGATATAAGGCCGAACAGACTACTATAAGCTGAAAGCTAGACGACGTTCAAAGAATGACATGCCTCAACATAACTAGTTCAATGAAAACCACACTAACTGCGGCTTTGAAAGTAATTCTATGTTCTCTGTGACTGCACTGCTCTTTCGCCAATAGGCCAATCGTACTCATCGCTAGAAGAGATCAGAGGCACCGCGAAGTCATTGCCTACGTGGAATCGCTAGGCTGGATGACGAGCTAAGGATGACCTCGCCTCTTGTGGAGGCGCACATTGGGCCCAATGTGACCTAAGTACCATACCACCCTCCCAAATTTATAGATACAGAACCTTAGCTTGCACATCCTCTCATTTATCGCCTTGAAATCCAGTATGTTGTATCAGGCGAAGTTTTCTCATCTGTTTACTCATTACAAAAGTTTTTATACAGCAAGCTTAAAAAAAAGTTCAGAATCGAAAGCTCTTATAGTGTAATTCCTCTAATTATAGTTGTCATCCTTTACGTGAACTGCTACAGCGTCAGTTTAGCTACAAGCGTCCAGAATGTATTCACTGCAGCCAAATTGGTAGCGGTTCTGATAGTGGTAATCGGCGGTGCCTATAAAATGATCGAGGGTAAGTCACATCTGCAACCAAACTAATTATATTTAAATATTTATTTTTCTAGCCAATATGACCAAAAATATAAAAAAATACTATTTTACGGTAAAAGTACATACCATAAAACCCCCCCTCTTAAAAACCAATCCCCTCTAAATTTTTTTTTAGGCAATACGCAGCATTTAAGGCAACCATTCGCCAACACGAAATATTCCATTGGTAATATTGCCACAGCATTTTACACCGGACTATGGGCCTACGACGGCTGGAACAATTTAAACTATGTCACTGAAGAAATCAAAAATCCATCCAAAAATTTACCGAGAAGCATTGTAATTGGAATACCCTTAGTGACAATTTGTTACGCCCTGATTAATATTTCTTATTTAACAGTGATGTCGCCAATGGAAATGATGACTAGTGAAGCTGTAGCTGTGGTATTTGGTAACAGATTATTGGGTTAGTGTGATTTTTTCGTTGGCTATATTTGTAGATTATTGCAAATCATTTTATTTTAGGTGTCATGGCATGGTTAATGCCTTTATCGGTAACAATTTCCACATTCGGTTCAGCGAATGGTACCTTATTCGCTGCTGGTAGATTATGTTTTGCTGCTAGCAGGGAAGGCCATTTGCTCGACATTTTGTCCTATGTACATGTTCGTAGATATACGCCATCTCCTGGACTAGTTTTTCATGTAAGGAATTTTATTTCAAGCTAGTTATTAATGGTTTTAATTGTTTTATTTTTGTAGTCAATTATAGCAGGAGCAATGGTTATGTATGGTACGATAGATTCACTGATTGATTTCTTCAGTTTTACCGCCTGGATTTTTTACGGCGGTGCAATGCTAGCTTTGATTGTAATGCGTCATACCAAACCTAATTATCCTAGACCTTACAAGGTAATTTTTGTGATTCCTAAGAGGACATTTTACTTTTTACGAAATTTTTGAGGAGTCCAATGTCATCAGTTTTCTAATGTTATTTTTTCTTTCTTTAGGTGCCAATTATAATACCCTACTTAGTATTGTTGATCTCGTTCTACCTTATCATAGGACCTATAGTTGATAAACCTACCATTGAGTACCTGTACGCTGCATTGTTTATTTTGGGAGGGATGATATTTTATATTCCTTTCGTACATTACAAGTACCGCATACCATTTATGGGTGAGTACTACCAGAAAAATTACAAATCTCCAATAATAATCGATATTTTTCAGATGCCATCACTGCATTTCTACAAATGTTGCTGGAAGTCGCCCCGACGACCAACATGTTCGATTAGCAACAGAAATCTACTCTATTTTGGAACAGATAAATAGTTTTTTACTATTTTTTTATATTTTTTGTTATTGACAGAAACATAAAACACAACATCCAGCCAACAAATGTAAACGAAACAGACAGCGATGAGGAACGTGAACATATCTAGGCCTTTTTAACTGTCTGAGCAATAATAAAAAGTTAATCAGTGCATTTATATAATTAACTTTACATTGAATATTTTTATGAAGGAAAATTTTTAAATGTTTCTGTTGAAGCAAATAATGAATTTTTAAATTTGTTATATTTACCTAGAATTGAAATATAAAGAAAAAAGATTTTGTTTAAGTTCAGCCTTTTATTTATACTTTGACTAACCTAGTATCATTGACAAAATTCAAAATCAGCAAAATAAGGATTCCACAATGCGGCTAATGTTAATAGGATTAAATATAATTTAATATTATAATCTGGCAACTTAAATTTGCGACAGACGAAAAAGCTTTTGGCAGATGTAGTGAAAACTTTAGAGTTGGCAAATATGGCCTGTTTCCAATCGGTCGAAGCCAAAGAACAAAAGCGAATCAATGCCGCAATCGAAAAACAACTTAGCAGAGATAAGAAGAATTCTAGGAGGGAAGTGAAATTGTTGCTACTTGGTAAGTGAAAAATTCTACTGTGAGATCTAGTTTTATTAGAAAATGCTTCTTAGGATTAGAATTAAATTTTTAAAATTAGGTACTTATTATCACAAATAGACAGAACATTCATTCTTGTCTTAAAATAGTGGTTGAGAAAATTGGCTTGATTAAGTTTGATTTGAAATCCAAGTTTCTTCTTTTTCATTGTGGAGAAGGTTTTGGGATTTCGAGAAAATTCAGTTTCACTCCCATCTAGAACAATACTGGATATTTATAATGAGACATCATGTTCTACTATAGTTTTTTAAATTTTCTACTACATTCCTATACATTTTGATCCGTCTATTTGTATGTGGTAATATGCCATCAATTAGAATTCACTTTTGGCAAACGGTGGAATTAATCTCACTTTCAATATTCGAATCTTCTACAGCAAATTTGTTTCTACACTAACTTACTCTAAAGATATTTTAAAAAAATTATAGTTACTGTTTGTATACTTGAAATTAGAATTTAGAATTTAACGTTTAAAGCAATACCAAGGGGTAAACCACCATCCCAGAATTTGTGCAAACAATTCCTCAAAGGGGAATTTTTTACGCATAATTCCTCAAATTCCTCCAAATTCCCCACAAATTCCTCCAGATACCCCATCAAAAATTCCTCCAAATACCCCACCATAAATTTCTCCAAATACCCCACAAATTTTTCTAAATTCCCTGCAAAATTCCTCGAAATTCCCGCACATTTTTTAGAGCTCGAACTGATTATTGGTTTTCGGTAATCCAGAATGCAGGGGATTAAACTAACCTAAACCCGCATTTGATATCATTACCTAATTGATGAAGAAAAGTTTTTTAGGAAATTAAAACAAATATAATACAATATAACCAAGAATAATACAGGTACATGACCTACATTTTAAACAACTTAGGTAGGTATGTATATTGTTTCACAATATTGAGGGTAGTTATATTGTTTCTTTTTATTTTAAATGGACCTTTTCCTAAAAGTTGAACAAGTTTTCAAGACCATAAACAGTAAATTTAATCTGAATCTCAGCAAATGAATGTGTCTAATTCCTTTTTCAATAAATTGGAAATAAGTAAACCCTTTTTACAACGTTCAGCCTTTTTCCATAATATGATGCTAGGATTTGAATACAGGTAAACTTGTATCAACTTCAAGTAGCTTGTAGTTCTTTTGTACTCAGGGTCATTTTTAAGGAGATTTTGTACCTACCTCTTCTGAAATCATAATCAATGCGCTTTTAAAGTTTACAAAGTTTTCCTGGAAAACTAGTGAAAGGAAAAATTTGAACATTTTTGTATGTAAAGAGCAGGGTTAGAGGCTCATTTTCCCGTAATTTCAATTTTTTCCAGTGAAAAACTGAACTAATTGAAAATACGGTCTCACACATTTCAAAGTTTTCCTGAAAAACTAGTTGAGGGAAAAATTTGAAATTTTTTGCATGTAAAGAGTAGGGTTAGAGGCTCATTCTGCCAAAATTTCAAATTTTTCAACTAGATAATAACAACATCTTGGAAATCAACCTACAATAACTGAATTAATTAAAATTAAAGTCTCACACATTTCAAAGTTTTCCTGGAAAACTAGTGAAGGGAAAATTTTGACACTTTTTGCATGTAAAGAGGAAGGTGAGACTCATTTTCCCAAAATTTTGAATTTTTCCAGTGAAAAATAACAACATGAAGAATCTTGGAAATCAACCTACAATAACTGAAATAGGTAATTAAAAATACTGTCTCACATAATTCAAAGTTTTCCTGGAAAACTAGTGAAGGGAAACTTTTGAAACTTTTCGCATGTAAAGAGGAAGGAGAGAGGCTTATTTTCCCAAAATTCCAAATTTATCCAGTGGAAAATAACAACATGAAAAATCTTGGAAATCAACTTACAAAAACTGAAATAGGTAATTGTTAATACAGTCTCACACAGTTCAAAGTTTTCCTAAAAAACTAATTAAAGGAAACTTTGAAACTTTTTGCATGTGAAGAGGAAGGTTAGAGGCTCATTTTCACAAAAATTTAAAATTTTTCTAGTGGAAAATAACCTCGAAAATAACAACATGAAGAATCTTGGAAATCAACCTCCAATAACTGAAGTAATTGAAAATACAGTCTCACACATTTCAAAGTTTTCCTGGAAAACTAGTGAAGGGAAAATTTTGAAACTTTTTGCATGTGAAGAGGAAAGTTAGAAGCCCATTTTCTCAAAATTTCAAATTTTTCCAGTGGAAAATAACAACATGAAGAATCTTGAAAATCACCCTACAAAAAGTGTACCTACTCATTATTGTTTTGAATTTTTTAAATTTGGACCTGTAAATTATAAAGTGAAATTTTGGGAGTATTTCTTTATTTAAAATGAATGTCTAACGTTCACACAAAACTAGATTTTTTTTTTTAAATTTCCATTTAAAAGTGTTTCTTACAATAAGAATGTGAACCTCAGTGACGTCATGACTCTACAATTTCCTATATTCCTCATAAATTCCTCACAAATTCCTCATAAATTTCTCCAAATTCCGTATAAATTTTTCGAGAAATTCCCCAAATTACCATTAATTTCTATGAGTTCCTTCAAATTCCCCATAAATTCCTCTAAATTCCCCACATTTTTGGCAAAGAATTCCTAGGTGGATTGCCCCTTGAGCAATACTGATAGTCTAGTCTAGTTTCTACTCTCTATCAGCAGAATTGCTTGTTACAGGTAAATATTCAATTCTCATAGCAACTCAACTTTTTTGAAATTCTCATAACTAGAATTTACTGCTCATAGAAAAGTTCTAGAATTTTGCCTTCAATTCTAGTCTTCACCAATTACTTCAAAGATGCCTCAGAGGATTATAAATTCCTGTTAAACTCTCCCGCAACTTGGATTTTCTAGAATGCTATATATTTTCTGTATAAAGAAAATTCTAGAGTTTTACAGGAACTTAACGCAACCACTTTGAAGTTTCCTGACAGAAGTTATCTGACAAATTGCCAGAGAGACCCGAACGATCAGTGGCATCGGTAATGTTTTTTTTTTTTTAATACACATGCATTTATTATTATTCAATATTATTTGGTTTTTAACTAGGTAGGTACGTATAAAATTTTTTTAAAAATTGCAATATGTACAGGGTGAGTCATTATATTTTGACACCCACCTGCAGCCATAATTACAGGTGATAGGTAAAAGGTGTAAATACAAAAGTTATAGAATTTTATTAGATTAAACAAATGAGCAACACAAACTGAAAAAATATGTCAATGTTCACTTTTTTCAAATGGAATGCACTTTATTTTCTTTCAAATTCTCAAATCAAGGTAAAATATTTTCAAAAAACTGCTATCTTGGAATAACTAAACTCCAGATATTGCCAAAATTATTGAAAGAAACATCAACATATTATACATGGTGTCCACTTAGTGCGATATCGGACGATATCTCCTTACAGGGTGATGCAAGAAAAAAAATTTAAATGTCAAAGTTGTGTGATACTCTAATATGCATTAGTTAAAAATATCTTTGAATATACAGGATGCTCCGTTTATGGGGTATGCGACAGATCTTTGTTAATTCAAATAGAACACCCTGTATGTGATTGCAAATTTGGATTCTACGTAAAATTCTGAGCAGATGTCATGTGATATACTCTATACCTAAGTTCAACTGTTTTGGAAATATTGACAGTTGAAAATTGACTTTTTGCAACTTTGACAGGCTGTAAAACCTAAACGGTTAATTTTAGACGAAAACCGATTTCACATTCCTATCTTAAATTTTCATAAACTAGGTATCATTTGACACCAACTTTGAATTTAACCGGAGATTAAATTTAACTGGAATTTTCAATCATGGATTAAATTCAAAGTTGGAGTCAAATGATAAAATTAACCGTTTAGGTTTTACAGCCTGTCAAAGTTGCGAAAAGTCAATTTTCAACTGTAAATATTTTCAAAACAGTTGAGCTTAGGTATAGGTTATATTACATGAAATCTGCTCAGAATTTCACGTAGAATCCAAATATGCAATCACATACTGGGTGTTCTATTAAAAATAACAAAGTTCTGTCGCATACCCCATAAACGCAGCACCCTGTATATTCAAAAATATTTTCAACTAATGCATATTAAAGTATCAGACAACTTTGTAATTTTAATTTTTTTTCTTGCATCACCCTGTAAGGAGATATCGTCCGATATCGCACTAAGTGGACACCCTGTATAATCTGAATCAGAAAAACGGGAACTATAAGAATTTGAAAGAAACTAAAGGGCATTCCATTTAAAAAAACTTAACATTGACATATTGTTGCTCATTTGTTCAATCTAATCCAAAACTCTGGCGGTTCAGATAAAATGCTACAACTTTTGTATTAACACCTTTCACCTATCACCTGTAATGACGTCTGCAGGTGGGTGTCAAAATATAATGACTCACCCTGTACATTGACTTCAAAGCCGTTCACTTAATAGTTTTACGAGTAGGTAGGTATTTATTATAAAAAATACAAAATTGAATAATCAGATAACAATTACTCCGACAATTATTCAAAAACTGTACATGAGATCAAATTCATACTAACGGGAAAGGTTAAGGAGGTTGTCAGAAACAGGGTGACACCAGTGGCGTACACTGTACAACATGTAGTGGTGACACAAAGTTATGTTTTTTTAAATGACTCCCCCTGTATAT